CTGCCGTTGCCCCATAATAGCTGCTTTCTGTCATCCAGCTGCCAGACACCAAGCCTGGGACTGAGATTTCTGTCCTAAAAGAGACAACTGCATGTGTCCCAGTTGGGTCTGCATGGCAGGGAAGAAGTGGCAGGGCTGGGCTGCAGCTGGGGAGACCATCTTCCAGCAGGCATCCCTGAACACCGTGCACCGTTGCACCCAGGTCTTCCCTGCACCTACTTGGGTCTACTTCTGGGTTGCAAATGCATGGGCTGTGAACTCACTGGCAGGGAGCACAGAGCAGGACACATTGACTCCTGGCATGAGTCCTAACAAGTCTGCAGTAATCATCCCTACCCTGCAGCACTTCTGCAACGCCTCGCCACTGTGACGGCAAGGGGATCGTCCCTCCTCAGTGCTCTACGTGGAAAGGCTGTCTGGATCAGGACAGCACTTGCTGTTTGCAGTAATCCTCTGATGGAAGAGGCCTTTTTCACTGTTTCATCCACTTGCTGTTTGTAGTTTTTCAAACAGTGGAACTAGAAGATCTTCCTGTTTTGTATAGCTCTGCTTTGAGTTGAGTCATGTGCCTGCTCCTATACTACTTCCATGCCTCCAAATGTAAAAACTGGGATATGAAGAAACTGGCCAAGGAATGAACAAGTGTATTTGGTTTAGCTTGAACGAGATAAAAAGTCAGCAAGAGTTTTGCTTAGGTTTTTGTTTGTTTGTTTTAAAAAAAGGAGGCACAGAGAGAAAAAGAAGAAAAAAATCACTTGTTTTCTAGCTTGCAAGTTGCAGGAACGTGAAGCCCCTGATTTTGCTGGTAGACTGCAGGAAATATGAATTTGCAGCTTTTTCAGTCCTTACTTGGAGAGGCAGGAACACCGAATCACTTATGAGACAGCCACCATCCTAACTGTCAGGCATGTCTGTTGAATACATGCAATCAAAACTGAACACAGATAGTGTTGTAAATGTGGTGAAGTCACTTTGTCTATGCTTTGCTTGTATTTTGTCTTCTCAGCAGAAAGATATCCATTCTTAGGTCATTGGCAGAATTCTCCCAGTTGATCAAACTCAATAAAATCAGAATTTCAAATGCAATTTGAAAAGGAAGGAGGCAAGGAACATGGTAGCTTTTTTTTTAATCATTTCCACACGTTTTTGGTAATGAGTCTATACTGTGAACATACACACAAGAGGCACATGTGTTGGGGAAAGCTTGTGCAACACAGCACAAAGCTATCCTTTCTTTCACACAATCCGTTTAAAACATGTTGGAAGCTGGAAGCTTTTGTCTTTCTTGATCTTGTGAACGAGGCAGTATCAAGTTGTGGTGATACTTGCAGTAGAGACCTGTGATGAAAGCCCCAGTGTTTCAGAAGCCGGTGTCTGGGTTGGGAGAAAAGGATGATCTTCCTTTGTCTGTCAGTCTGGAGACAGTAGCCAGTGTGCTATTTTGATTTCTAAGGTAATTAGACAAGGAAACACAAACTCCATGTAGGTGTTCATAGCAGTGGGACGAGTGCTTCCTTGTCGCTCTGCTCACCACTTCGGTATCCTAATCACATCACATCTCAGCAGCACAACGGCAATTGTCACATCCGGACAGTATTGCACAGTGACTCGAGTGCCTAACCACAAAAATTAGTGATACAGAGGGGCTGCAGTTTTCCCTTCTGGCCTGGCACTTGTCACAGCTCAGCATATGATCTGAGCGGGTCTGCCATGACCCAGGGAAAGCACTTTCATCACTTTTTCCTTGGAACTGGTGAAAACATCCATAATAAACAGGGGCATTTGCTGCAGTGTCATTGTTTGAAGTAAGCAATAGCTGTGGTCCCAGAGGTCAGAGATCCCCTGGGGCTTTCCCCTGGTCTGTGCTCTCATCTTCTTCCCCTGCAACTTCCAACCTGGGTAATCACCTTCCAGCTCTCTAAATTCCCCATGCTGAAGTGCTTCTATGGATCATGGTCCTTTTCATTTTCTGTCACTACAACGGCCACCTTGCAATACCACAGTTCCTGAATGCCCAAAGTGCTGCAAAGATCATGCAGAAGAAAATATTCCTGGGAGATATATTGGCCCACTGTTCTTATCATCTAGTTCCTTAGAGAGTTTCTAGTCTGCTTATGAGTAAGACAGACTGTGATAACCCACTAATGAGCACATTCTTTCTCTGAGGAGGAGAGATACTTCAATAACTTATAGGCTGCCTGTTTAAAAGAGGCAGGTTCAAAGGTTCTGTTCAAAACTTGATTTAACAGTGTACTGCTGTATAGCTCAGTGCTCCCTAGCAAACTAAGCTTTATTCCTCGCATGAAAATTCAAACAGCCAAAAGCCACCTGCTTTTTCCCCTTTTCCTGTCGCATTTGTTCTAGTTTGTTGCTATCCAGCGCTTGCAAGATGTGGAATTGTTGCTACCTAGTTTTGTACAATTATATCTTGGGGCTGGCTTTCTATTTGGTGGGTGAGATGGATGGATGCTCGATGGACTGTAGCTTGGTATCTGAGTTAGTAGGAATTGTTTTACACCTGCTTTGAGAGTAAAATCAAAGGAGCTGTGGGCTTTGTTTCACTGATATCACAGAAGGTGCTTTGGAGTGGTTTGTTTTTGCTGTCTCAGGATGGGTGCATAACCCCATTTTCTTTTTTATCACATGTTGAAGAATTATATAGTTTTACACATTAATTTAGGAAGGACGAAGGACAATTAATGGTGGGCTCCATGAGGTTTGTGTCTTTGAAAAGTCTGGAAGATTTACTCCTGTGATAATAATGGTGCTCTCTCTCTCTTTCTCCTCCCCCCACCCCCTCTCCCCTGCCCTGCTCTCATTTTCCTCCCTCCTCCACTTTCCTTCTGCAGCTTCTGGAAACCTTCTCCGGAGTTCTCCCCACCCTCTCTGCAAAGGACGAGCCCCTCTGGCTCCCACTCAGACCCCAGAACTCTAGGGAACAACAGGCTGTTTTGATCCCGAAGCCCCTCCAAGGGAGCGTACGCTCACACAGGTTTCTGACCAGAGAGACACTCTTTAGCACGCACTGAGATGTCTGCCTGCAGACACGTACACTCAGGAGCACGTGAAGCACATGCGTGAGACTGCGGTGTGACACTCCAGCACCTCCCACCCCATGGTTTTTCACCAGAGCTGCCTACTCCAGTGTGCTTCTACAGTTTGTTTTCTAGTTCCGCCTCCCTGAGGTGTGTTGGCAGCTCTGATACCCAGGTACACTGATACCGCTGCAAGCGATACCAGCCTGCTCGCAGAATCTGTGTTCCCTTTGATTTAATGATTCTCATTAAAGTCAGAGATGAAACTACTGGTGTTCGAGGTTTTGGAGAGTGAGATATTGCCGTTTGAAAGGCTTGAGGTGATCTCAAAGCACAGAGGGGAAAGGAGAGGGGGAAGATGGGCTGCCTGGCGGCTTTGGTAGTGGGCTTGCAATGGAGAGCATGATACAGAGATTTGATATCACGCATCTCACTGGGCATCCACTCTAGTAAGACCAGAAATTACTTTTCCAGGCGTTACAATTTCTCGTTTATGACAGGCACCACTTCTCAAAGAGGTTACTGACTTCTGGTGAAAGATCAGTTGTTTGAGTTGATTCATTTGGAATAAGAAAGTGGAGGAATTGGGACTGGAGGCAGGTATAGGCAAGAAGGAGAACCCGAACCATTTTTTTATTGCGCTTACTGGGGAATGACCTCAAGGTGCATACACTGAGTGAAGAAATAAGTGAATATAAAACATCTCTGGGGAGAGCAGGCACCGGTAGGAAGAAGTGCAATATCTTAGACAAAAATAGTGTGGAGGTGGAAGGCCTCTTCCAAGTTCAGCTGCAACAACCTTTGGCTGATGAGCTTCCCCAGCCATTTGCTCTGTCAGGGAATTGGAGATGGCAGTACCAGTGGAGGAATCCCCTGTCCCACAGAGCCTGGTGCAACCAAGCTGGGCAGTGAGGGTATGAGCCTCTCCAGGGCAGGTATCCAGGAATCAGTCCCTCCATCAGCATGCACAGTGCAGGGTGTGCTTCAGTGCCTCTTGGCACAGACATGCAGGGGCACGGCCATTCTGCATGTGGGGCTGGCTTTGTGTCAGCCCTGGGCTGGTGGAGGCAGCGTTGGAGGCTCCTCGCACTGCTTGTCTTTGCTGTCACCCCAGGGCGGGAGAATGGGGCTGCCCCAGGCCTGAGGATCATCCTGATAATGGTTGTCACCATGCTCTGTTGCTGCATTCTTCCTTCAGCCTGACCCCCTTGCCCTAGGAGGAGCTAGGAAATGCCTCCAGCAAATTAACACAAAAGCTAATTGGGGTCCCTTCGGCAAAGGAACCGAAATGCACAATAAATCTGCATCCCATCTGTCACAGTGCTTTATATACCTTCCCAAAGTAGTGGATTGGACTGGGCTGAATTACACACTGCCCTTCACAGGTGCCTGCTGAGGTTTCTCTGGAGACTCTTCAGTCGTGGTACCAGTTAGCCTGGATCTCTGTCAGGTTCTCAGAGCCCAGCTCTAAAGCCCTTCTGAGTGTATGCTGGAGGTGGTGCCCCACGTGGCAGGGCCCAAAAGCTTGGACATGAGCTGAATGCAGGAGCTGACTCTGCAATGACACTGTCTAGGGGAGCAGTAGTGACAGCTCATACAAATGACTGAGGCTTCTTCATGGCAGAAATGCCTTTAGCATGTCCCTCTCTCCTGACCATGGTGTTCCTGGTGCATTCTCTATCACCCAGTGAAGCTAGTCCAGGGAACCAGAGAAAAAAGGTCTATAGAAGATGTGATTTGGATGCCTCAAGTCTATGCCTCTTTAATTTGCATATCCGTCAAGGTGGTGGAAAAGGTGTGGTTGGGTGAGGGCTGTTTCTATGTACATGTGTCTTGTGTTGTAATATTTCACCAGTCCTTTCCAGACCTCAGCTGCTTTTCCAGGTTTGAAAGGCTGTGCTGAATTTCTGAGACTAATTCGTGTTAGGTGGCCCTGTAGCTACGATGCTCTATCCTCTTCCTATTACCTTCTATTTTAGGCAGTTGGTCAAAGCAGTGCAAAATTGGATGCAAGAGCACTGCTGTGCTCCTGGTGTCCGTTTCACTTCATGTGAGCTTCAAAGAGAACAAGCCAACAGCCAGAAGAGCTGCTCCAGGCCTGTCAGGGAAGGAGATCCATTCTGATTACCTAGCAGGAGGGCTAACATGAAATCAGTAGGGTCTTGCTCTGAAAGTGTCTTGCGGATGGTACTAGCGAGTTTCCCATTGGAGCGTTGGCTAAGAATGACTCCTTCCTGTGCCAAACCTGAACAACACTGTTTCCCCTTGCTGAGGAAAAACAATACCTCTCACCTTTAATATGAAGATCTCAGGAGACTTTAATACAAAACACAAATGAATCATCCCAGTACTACTGTTGTAGAAAGAGTGATACAATCTCCTCCTTCTTTCATACAGATCCAAACCTTGAGATTAAATGACTTGCCCGTCTCACTTTCAGAACTGGGTACAGAACCCGTGAGATGAAAGTCCCAATCCACTCTTTTAACTGAGAGGTCTTGCTGTAGTGAGTCAACCTTGTACTCACCGATCTGCCACATGCTTCTTTTCCTTGATATCCTGTTGCTAATGCAGGAAGTAAATAACCCATCCAGTTTTATGGTGAAAGTATCATCTGTGAGCAGAGAGCAGCAATAGGTTTAGGGCTCCTTTCCAGTTTTGGGTATGCCCGCATGCTCTGAAGCCAGTGCTAGGCACAAGCAGCGGGCAGCTCATAGGAGACGTCTGCATTGCCAGGGAGGGTGAGGTTCCAGGGCAGGCATGTCATTGTCCGGCTGTGGGAAAAGAGCACAGGGAAATCAGGCTGGGCATTAGAAGGTGGAGGTTGCTATCCTAACACAGAGGCAAGCAGGCTGCTGATGGACCTTGTGCTGCTTTGCAAGGGTATGATGAACAGGATACTGTGCCCTGGCTGGGATGAATTGGCTGGAGGGGTTGTGTCCTTTACCTTTCCACCACCCTCTCCTAGTAGTACCATTGTTGCTCTGAGTGATCCCAGTTTAGTGATAAGAGCATAGTTGTGAATCTGTGCAACTCTACAGCTTTCTACCTCCATCACAGCTAAGTCCAGCGCTTCCAGGGGTGCAGGTTAGCACGCCTTTAAGGCGATGTGCCGTCCTGTCCTATTCATAAGTGACAAAAAGCCATTACCTGCACGTCCATCCCAACTTCGGAGTGCTTTGCTCTGCAAAGCAGCCTAGTAAGGAATAGTCCTTATGCTCAAGGGAGTGTCTGGTATTTACATAGGAATGCCTCTTTTTTTCCCTATCTGGGCCTACTGGATATATTTTTTACTGCCTTGTGCTTGAGTCTCCTTACTGCCCATAAGAACAAAATCTAAAGGTGAGCCCAGTTTGCCTTCTCGTTTTCCCTGCTTTGGAATACCCACTAGCTTGCTTCAGCCTGGAGCCAGCATCAGAGTCAACTCAGAAGCAACGTGGACAGAGTTCAGTGTGTCAGTATAGACCTAGTTATTTTGCCCTGCCTGCAAGGACTTTGGATCTGCAAAACTCCCGGCAAGAATATCGTATTATGGAGAACATTATTTCTCTCACGATGAGAAGGACTTGTCTGCTTCTACTCTCGGTAAGGTAATTATAGCTGAAGGTATATACTCTACAATGCCTGGCCTAGAAAATGCCAAAATGGTTGTCTTTAGCCTTAGTGCTTTATGAACCTGTGCAGTATAAGAAGCAGAAATATATCACCGGTCTTCTGTTGTCTCATCCTGAAAAATGTTCATCTGTCATGTTTCAGGTGGGGCCCCACTGCAGACAGGGGGAAGATGGGGAGAGCAAGCAAGAACAAAGGAATAAATTCTAGTTAGTAGAAGCTTTTTCTATGGTTTTTATGGTGATTTAAGCATCTTCAAAGTGATGTGAGTTGCAGCCATTTTCCTTCCATGGCACAATGCCCTGGGGAAGAATTGTAGAAAACTCCTAGAAAACTACCTTGGTAGCTTTTTCTCTCTCACAGATAGAAAATAATTTACATAAGACAGATAGGTGATGGGAGAGACCTCCTTACATGTTTATCTAAACAGGAGAGAGAATGCATTGTTTCAGACCACAGGCTCAGTGGATCCCTATAAAATTCCTGTGACTTACTTGCTATCGAGAGGCATCGGGGCTGCACAGAACTTGCCGACAATGGATGACTCATCCTTCCTCCAAAACTGGTTCTTGGGAAGATATTTCAGTGTCACACTGTTTATCTGGCAGAGGGGAACACTGTGGGCCAGCAGCTTTTTGCCCATCTCCTGGTGCTTAGGTCTGAAAGGCAGGGTGAGAGACGCGAGGGAGAACATTCAGTCAACCTGCAGATGCGGCCTGTATGCAGATGTATTGAAACACTGGAGGAACCTGGGGTATTATTGTGGAGCCCTCACATAATGGAGTGAGAATACTCATCTATCAAAACAGGGCATTGCATGAGAGGCTTACTGGCTGTCTCTCCATGTTTTATCTCTGTAGTCAGAAATATTTCTGTATAAATATCCTTCCTTCCGTCACACAATTACAACAACTCTTCTTGCTATTGCATATAGATTGAAATGCAGCCTGGATTGCTACAGAGAGGTAAGTGGTAGATAAGGTCAACATCTATGAAATCATGAATGGCACTGATAGGGATCGGTTGTTCACCATTTCTTCCAGTGCATGAACTAGGGGTCATCAAAGAGAGCTAAGAGGTGGCAGGCTCAGAAAGATTGCACACTACACAGAGTACCATTCTCACGCTGTTAAAATCCTTGCTGTGGGATGTTGTGGATGCTAGCAAGTTTACATGACTGTACAAGTCATGGGAGGGGGACTGGAAAAGTTTGTGTAAGACAAAAGCTAATAAGGACAAAGATCTCACCTTTGGCTCTGAAAGTCCATGAGACATAATTGGTCAGACACTGGGGAAACTGTTTGGGGAAGTATTGCTACATACTTACACTGCATTTTTTTACACTCTTCTCTAGGAATTTGCTTTTGACCATGTTGAAGGTGGGATGCTTGGATAGAGGGACGTTTGTCTGTCCCTATGTTCTTACCCAGGTAACAGGAACTGAGAAATGCCAGAGGTTGGTAAACAGCCAATGATCCGAGCCCAGTTGGTCATATGCTATGAAGGAGTGCTGCCCAGCCATTTTATGTAGGTGGGCCACCTCCCTTCTCTGGAGTCCATCTAATGGGTGTCCTTATGCTTGATCTATGTGGCACCTCTAAGAGCCTGGAGATCATGGTTTCCTTGTGTTTATGAAGAATATTTGTGTAGCTGACTCAGCACAATCCCAGAAGCACCTGGGCGACTGCCTGATCAGAAACGTGTTGGTAG